GCTTTGTTTTTAGTGATTGTGTTGGGAAGGTGAGCATCATGGAATGCCAGTTTAATAGAAAAAAGTGTTCCTGCATTGAGGGAGTACTTGAGTAGAGCATGGGCCAGTATATATAGTAGCTCATCAAAGGACCCAAGAGGGGTTTGCACCTAATTAGCCAGTAGTGCTCATCTACTCTTGGATGCATGCTCCTCTTCATAAACACACCGCACACTGAGTGTTTACTCTTGACAAACAAGGACGACCCTATAATGAGGACAGACCTTAAGCACATGTGGCAAGGGTCTTCCTGGAGGCGGCAGTTCTGAGAAAGGGATGATAAACATGGAGACCCGTCCACTTTTACCTCTGCATGTGTGTGCCCACCTTGTCATCTGGTTTGCCAGCAGCTCCAGCGACACCAGCAACAATGGTCTTTCCACTCGCAGAAGCAGTGTCCTGTGGTTTAGTCTAGGAGCAGGGACAAAAGAAGGATACGACTAAGTTTCTCTGCATAATGATTTTTAAGATCCCGAGTTTCCAATGCCACTAGCGTCTACTTTGTGGGCATCCTTAGTTCTCTGTTGTGGGCATCCTTATAGAGAGGTGTGAACTAGCTTCTCCTGGGCATGGTGCAATGCTGGGCACCGTGTGAAGCTGAACTCAGGTGCCTAAGGAGTCCAGGGCAGTTACACAAATCTATGAAACAGGCAAGGTCAGAGCTATAGTGAACTGACAGACATATAAGGGGGTACCCCCCGCAAAAAACATTGTTTTTACAAAGCTATGTATTTAATTTTTTTTACAAAACAACCTTATCACCTTCAAAGTACTCTCCATTACACTTAGTTTATTTGTCAAGTCTACAATTCCATTCTAGGAAACATTTTTTCAAACTCATCAGTTTGGAGGGCTGACAGCACCTCCCTCATTGTTTTCTTCACCTACTCTACATCTTCAAATCCCTCTTCATTCGGAGAAACAAAAAGAAATTGCATGGAGCGAGGACAAGTAATTAAGGTGTGTGGGGCAAAAGAGGCATGCTGGTTTTTTTTAACAAAAACTGGCACACTGAGATGGCTGCGTGAACAGGTGCATTGTTGTGGTGGCAAAACCAGTCCCCCATCTGCCACTAATGAGGCCTTCTTTTGCTGCACACCGTTATGCAATTTTTTTTAGAACCTCTAAATAGAAAGCTTGATTTGCAGTCTGACCTCGTGGAACGAATTCCAAATGCACTATCCCCCTCATATAAAAAAAACCCCAAACCCAAAAAAGAGCATTGGAGAG